AGGACTCTGGGCATCATTTTACCTCTTACTCCTCCTAACCCCATAAATGAATCACACAGATGAGCCTACCTCCCAAACATCTACTTCATGCGTCCGCCCCTGCCCGATCCCACTGTCGCTGGCGCATCAGCTGTCCCCTGGAGGACAGTGACAGCCTCCTGGTCAGCGCTCCTGCGCCAGTCTGGTCACGCTCCAAACTCACCCTCAATGCTGCCCGTGACTTTACAACACAAACGTGATCCTTTCCTGCCTCTGCCCACAAAGCCCTGAGCGCACAGCGCACGCTCCTCCGAGCACTGCTGACAATGCGATCACCTAAGGGCTGCGAAACTTCTCTTCAGGGCCAGGCAGCGCATGTGCCAGGTTCTGCAGGCCTTTGCAGGCCACAGCCTGGCCACCGTGGCACAAAAGCATCCACAGCCCGTACACAAACAAATGAATATAGCTGCACTCCGATAAAAGTTCACTTAAAAGTAGGCTGCGGGCAGATGTGGTGCGTGGGCCGAAGTTGGCTGACCTCTGCTCTGACCCAGCCCGGCACGGCCTTGTCTCTGGCCATTCTGGCCCTCGCGCAGGCCTCTTCCAGAAAAAGGCTCCGGCCACCCAGTCTTGTCTTTGCTCCCCACAACTGTGCATCGATGCCAAATGTTAACAATAAAATGCATTTGTTTTATTTAATAAAATAAAAGCTACTGTTTATCTAAAGTTCACTCCAGGTACTGCAGTAAGTATAAATGTATGTTGTGTGACATTAAGGAACGATGTCAGGATCACACATCCTAGAACTGCAAGGAGCCCTGGGCAGAGATCCACTAGCTCCAAAACTGAAAGCAAATGATACAGTGGATTAATGGTCCTTAATTAAAGAAATATTTATTGCATACCTGTGTCCCTAGAACCTAGATTCAGTGTGAAGCGGCACAAAGTCTTTGTTTTCATGAAGCATATATTCTAGTAGATAAATGAGAAATAAATGCATACCTGATATGTTAGATGATGAAAAGAATAAAGCAGAGCACTGGACAGAAAAAGGACGCTGCTTTATATGGGGCAGCTGAGGAAGGTCTCATGCTAAGGGAGCATCTGAGCAGAGGCCTCAGACCACATGGAGCCTGGGAGAAAAGTGTTTAGGCGGAGGGAAGGATACATGCAAAGGCCCTGAGGCAGGCAAGTGCCGGCTGGCGCAAGCCAGGCAAAGAGGCGAGCCGCAGGCCGAGAGGAAGAGGAGAATGGGAGGAGGTGAGGTGAAGGAGGAAGCAGGGACCGGGTCATCTGGCTTCAGGTCCCAGCAAGAACTCTGAATTTCAGCCAGGAACTCAAGATAACCAACTCCTAAAAAAATAAAAATAAATGACATTTAGCTGTCACAAAAGCTACGTATCATAAAGAGAACCTCGTCTGCATGTCTACTCTGGAGATAAAATTCCCAACAACTCCGGGTCACTGTTATCTCACGTGTAATCGGAACCTCTTGCTTAAACAAGAAGTCACGGCAGCTATCCAGCCTACGCTCTCCGCTTTGCCAGCGTGGAGGCTGGGGCCCAGGACGGTGCCGTGGCCACCCGCTTTGTGGCCGGCCTTGAGCTCCCTGCTGTCCGGGATGGCCTGACGTCCCGTGGGGTGCTTTTCCGGGCCTCGGTGACCTCTGACGTCAGTGAGAAAATGAACAGCTGCCACTACGAGGCACCTCCAGACACATCCCCACACCCCAAACCCGTCATTTACAAACTCCCGTGGTCCAGGTTTTCATTCCCCACAGAGCTGCAGACAAGCAGGCAGGTACAGGGAAGGCACACCAGGCACTGGGAGGGCTGTTTTGGGGGTTTTGCCTGCCCGGCATCTCCGACTCCGTACACCTAGAAGTGGCTCCTTTTCCGAGGTTCTGGCAGGCCAGCTCTCACAGCAGCCAACCCACGTGTTGGAGCGGACATGTAACCTGGGCCATTCGAGAAACCTTACCCCGCTGACGCCACACATGAAGGCCCGGGGTCCAAGCCGAACCAACAAGAGTCCTTGCCTGGGGTTGTACGGATAAGAGCTAGAGAAAGAAGCCCCATCCTGTGCTTCCCAGCTGCGTGAGCCAAGGCATCCCTGTTCTGCTCAGGGTAATTCACAGCATGAGGTTACTGTCACCTGCGACCAAAGAATTCACGCTCATGCGGGCACCTGCGCACCTTTTCTCATTTCCGCTGCCGGACAACTTCACAAGGTTGTTTTTACTCTGCATAACAACTTTATAAGGTTGTTATTATTCTATTTGAAGTTAAATATCTTGCCCAAGTTCATACAGTTTAAGTAAGAGGCATTCCAATTCAGGTCTCTCTGCTCCAAATAGCACTGAGTCTCCAGTTATGAATTCAGTATTAACTTAAGAAGAAGATGACTCACTGCGATTCTAAAGCCAGCAAACTGAATTTTGGTTTCAAACTATAGTGGAAATTAAAGGTAGGAGGATGGGCAGGGAGCGCATGAGAAATAGCACTGAAACACCTGGCTTCTGCTTCTGGGTCTGTCCCATGACCTCAGATATTAGGACTCTGGGCAAGTTGTTCCACATATCTGGGTATTGGTTTTCCCACCTATAACATGAGACGCCTCTACAACAGGAACTTAAGGTCCTTTCAAGTACACAGAGAACGAAGCCCATGGGTCAGCTTTAGGAAGACGGGTTCTGGTTGCAGAACATGTCAGGTAAGATGTCACGCAGATTTCAACTTGAATGTCAGGCCCAGCAATCGCTAACGGCTGTCTGGGCACAATGCTGCAAAGGACTCCAAGCTACATGGAGCTGCAGGGAAGTTAGCACTGGCTTCCGTGGTCACAGGGACGGAGAGAGGGGAAGGGCTGCGCGCTGGCCACACACCTGCCATCGGTGAGGAGGAGTTCACCGTGACAGAGGACAGCTGCAGTCTCCATGACTGAAGCCATCAGCACCTGCATGACTCCTCCCGCACTCACTTGGTTCCCCTTTGTGAGCAAGGAATCAAAGTAAGAAAGGAAGTGGTTTAGAGAAGACACCTTGTCACCAGTGATGAAAACAGTCTAAAGAGCCTACATCGGGGGGGGGGGGCAGGGACGAAGGGGAACGATAATAGCCACTACGGTTCTTTATGATACAGTTTCCTAAGATCCTAGTAACTTGCTCGTCAGTTAAGTAGGGTACTATCCTGCCCGTTTTAGAGAAAGGCAAAATGAGACTCAGGTAGCAGGACTTGCCCCAATCCCCCACTTCCAAGTGGCAGAACCCAGATTCGAACGCGTTTTCTAAATCCAAATCCTCTTTCTCTCTCCACCCCCAACGTCCCCACGGGTCCCACAGTCCAAGGAAGTTGCCTAAGCAAGCTCGCACTGCAAAGCGGTATCATCTTCATCATCTCGAGTTGTTCAGATATGAGTTTCTTCCCCCAAAATTGGAACTGTCATTACTATCTAATCTGTTTGTAATTTAACGGGCAGACATGCATTGAGTATCTAAATCGAGCATTTGAGTGACCGATCTCCACACCTTTGTGCACACCCTTCTCTTAGCCTGAGCTGCCCCTCTCTGCCCTGTCTGCACTGGAACCAACCATCCCTCTTTCAAGATTGGTGTCGGGAATCATCGCCGCTATAAAGCTGTGCTTGGCACTTGGGAACAACTGAATGCATTTCCTGTGTCCCCTATACAACATCTACAAGGCTTTATGGCACTTGCTTTGTTAATGTTTGTTCCCGCCACCAGTCCTTTTGAATTGTGTTATTCTAGCACAGTGCTGGTCAGAAGGTAGGGGCTTCACAGATGAATGGTGATTGACAAGTTGAATGAATTCACCTGGTCAATCTCCGTCTCCCGATGCTTGAATATTCCCCACCAACTGCGCTCATTAACTCATGCATACATGTATTCATTAAAAAATATCTGGGTGTCTGCAACGTACCAGCTGCGTTGGACTGTGCGCCAAAGTGGATTTACCAGGAAATTAATGAAGTTTAAGCCTCAGAGCCCCTCACCTGCACCTCCCAAAGCTCTGAACCTTCTTTTGTGAATTTGCATTTTTATTTCTTAAAGAGAACAGACAGAACTGTCTATGCATCAAGCTACACAGCAACAACATCCACCCTTGGTGCCAAGGACACAAAAATGAACAAGGCAAACATCACCTCTCCCCGTGGAGAGTTTAGTGGGGAAGACAGACAACCTTTTGTTCTTTTTCTTCTTCTTCTTCTTTTTTTCATTCAACCACCACATACTAAGCAACGCTGAGTCGAGCACCTGCGACTCTGAGGCCAAACCAGCCCTGTTCCCGCCCTCAAGCAGAAGGTCCCCGCTCTCCTGAGGGAAAGCCTGCTGTGCTCGGGAACAGAAAGCAGCTTACATAACTGTAACATAGAGTGTTTGTGAAAGATTACCCTAAACCCGTCTCAAGACGAACTGATCCCTAGCATGCACCCTAATCTACTGCAGGGGGCCCGCGGAAGGGAGAGGTCGGCTGAACACGATCTTTGACCCCAATGAGGGGGGTGGGGAAGGGAGGGACAGAGGCACGAGACAGTTAAACATTAGAGGTAATACACTGGGGTCAGTGCCGCGACAGGAAAGCCACGGACTGCGGAGACCCTTCCCTGTCGTTCCCGGCAGCAGTGACAGCGAACTCATGATCTTACAGGACAGTCCCCGAACTTTGCGAACTGAGGTTTCCGAGCGTCTCTCCAGCTGCGCCCTCCCCCACCCCCAAGAGAAATCCGCTTCCTACAATGGCTCTCACTATAAGTCCCCATTCCTCGAAGTGAGGCTGTTCTCTTCCCGAAACAGCTGTCGGCTCTCTGGGACCAGCTCTCCCGTCTCCCCTTTCAGACCACTTTTCTCCAGGAGCTTCTTTCACACACTGCTCACGGGACAGGGTCGGGTTTGGGATTTGAGATTTGGGGTCTAGGCTTTAGGGTCTAGGGTCTAGGGTCTGGGGTCTGCGTCGCGGGTCAGCCCCGACCGCCAGCCCGCCGTTTCCATAGCAACCACTCACCACTTCGCGCGCCCGGCTGGAGAAGTCGCCCTTGGGCCGGGGGCTCCGGCGGAACAGCTCGTCGCGGCTGCCATCAACCCCGCCGCCCACCGCCACTCCCAGCGCTTTGTTCCGAGTCTTCACGGTCTTGACGCTGGCCCGGAACAGCAGGGTGATGTCTACCGCCATGACGACCCGCACCTGCAGCCCCGAACCCGGCCGGCCCACGTCAGCAGCCAGCGACCACTGCGCGAAGCCGGCCGCGGGAGGACCGTTCCGGCTGTGCACGCCTCCGCCCGCCAACGGCGGCACGAGAAGAAAGGTTCCGGCCTCCGCGGGGCCACCGCGGCAAGAGAAGACAGGAGACGGGTTCCCGCGGCGCCCCTTTCTCCTCCCAGCAGAACTGTCCCGCCTCGACGGCACAGGGAGGTCCCGGAGCCCGTTTGGGGAGTGTGGGCCCTGGGCGCGAAAGGATAGGAAGCCAAAAGGCTCCACCTCTTCTAGTGGCTCCCGCACTGATAGCCCCGCGGCGCGGGATGCGGGGGACAGAAGGTGAACCAGCCTGACCTCTGACCCCAAGGGCCTGCCCTGCGCTGGGCTGGAGCACGTGGACGGTGACCTTTTGGGTGCAACAAGTTCTACCGCAGGGCAGGCGTGCATGGCACAGAGCTAGAGACAGGAGGCCTTTCGTTTTTCAGCCTTCTACCCCCTGAAGCCAGAACCTTCATCAGATTGTTTTTGTGAGAATTAAGAGATAACACGTGTATTTTGGCATTGCCTGGCTCCTGGTGATCAATACAAATTAGTTACCGTTGTTAATAATGTGACTGCTATCGTTGTATTTATGGTGAAGAGCTGTATAGAGAAGGCATCGCTATTAGAGAAAGGCAGGTTTGAAGAACGACTAAGAATTTATCAGATGGGGACAAGGGCAGAAGAGTGTTACCAGCTTCTGTTCGCCCTTGAGGTGTAGTTTTTAGAGTCACAGTTCATTAAATTCACTGTTAGCCAATGAGTTCTTACTCTAGTTTGGCGCAAGGTTCAGATTTAATTCACGATCTCCTTGATTTCAAGTTTGTTTTCCTTTTTAAAAGAGGATGTTCTACTCCAATATGTAGTAGAACAGTGGTTGTTGCAGAGTGGTCAGCAAGATGAAGTTATTTTTGTAATACTAAGATATTGTTTGACTTTTCACTCATTTTTCTCACGAGTTGCACACAGTTAAATTTTCCAGAGGCTGTGTGACTTGTGATACTGCAAAACAATGAATGCAGAACAGCTGTCTTCTATTAAGCCAGATTTTAGAAAGATTTGCAAATATGTAAAACATTGTCATTCTCACCAAGGCTTTAAATTTTTTTTTTGGAAATGTATTTTTTTCACAAAAAGTTACCATTTGTTAATATATAATGTATTCATTTTTGTTTTTAAATGAGTAAATATATAAAAGTTTTGTTTTCATTTCTAATATGGTAAATACCAATAGATAAAACCCATAAAACCAAAGTAAATGTTTAGGACCCTCAATAATTTTTAAGAGTGTAAAGGAGCTCTGACATCAAAAGTTTGAGACCCAATGTGTTAAGTGAGTTTATCAATAATAGGTGTCAAGAAAGAACGTAAGTACCTGTAAGGAAAAGGGAAAACCCAGGCTCTAGCCACTTCAGCCTTTCTGTATGAGGAAAATAAGTTTCCATGGAGCTTTCTTCTGCCTACGGAGTAAGAGAAAAAAATGAGAAAGAAATTACAAAATCTCTGCCAAAGAATCTGTATTGCATAAATGGTCCTTTGTTTTACGGAGACGTTAATGAGTCTTTGACTATGCAAAGGTAAGCCTGGGGCAGGGTAGGAGAGAGTTAAATAGCTCTGCATAATGTAGTGAATGGGATTAAATTAAGGGTAAGAGGGAGAAAGCAGAACCCAGGAACGAGGCCAGTTCGTTGGGAAGGGTTTTTCAGGGGGAGAATGCTGAGCCACACCAAACGCTCCGTGTGTAAACTGTGTTTGGTGCTGTTGGTGTTTGGGGGAGGGAGGGTAAGAGGGTGGGAATGAAGGTCTGAGTTTTCTCTGGGGATCTGCAAAAGCAGAGGAGATTGTGGAGATGAGACCAAGTGAGCTCTAAAAGGCGCAAGTGACCACAAGTACAAAATATTCCTAGAAAAGTCACCGAAGAGGCCATTAGTCTTCCCACAGACCGTGGCACATACGACTTTGCTTTTATTATTCTTATTCTTTTATGTTATTCTTTTCACTGCAGAGAGCAAGGAACCTTCAGGGGACAGTAGACTAATGTCTGTTTGAAACCCCATGAAGCCGAGAGGCGACCTGGATGAAGATAACAGTGTGGAGGATGCTACAAACTGCCCAGTTCGATGTAGCACAAATGTGGTTTCCTAAGTAGCTGTGTTTCATTCATTAGGCCAGGCACTCTCCTGTTGGCGAGGGGCAAGGCACGTTGGCATTCCGAAAGGCCGCTGCCGAAAGGCAGCTGCCGAAAGGCAGCTGGCGACAGCCGCACCCTCTTTACCATCAGGATGACCGGGGGACGTGCGCGCAAGTCCTGAAGCGCAGCCTCAGCCAGAACGAGTGCGTATTGCATGTCCGGATGCCCAACCCATAGGCTGTGGGTGAGAAATAGATGTCGGCCACTGAGATCCTGTCATTATCACTTCCTTTGGAAAGGTGGGTTGCGTGGCCCCCCCACCTTGGGAAAAATGGGGTAGCACTTATTGGCTACGTGGAAGGTGCCCAGTACCTGGAAGTGCGGATTCTCAGGGGGCGGCGCCGGAGGCCAGCGTTTCCTGGGCCCATGTAATCAGGAACTTGCTGCGATCATGTCGTAACTGGGACTGTCTGCGGTGGTCTGTTACGTTGTTCACTCATAGTGAGGACCTCTCCCCCGGGGGAGGATTAGTGTTCCTTGACCTGTTGATGACTACCTCTGCCAGGTGATTCTTTTTAGCCATAAAAAGTGACATGTGTTGCAAATTTAAGAAATAAGATGTGCTTCATTGCTCCCTTTACCCTTTGCCGCTACAACTCATAATATTCCAGTGTTTCATCAGCTTGGCCCCGAGGAAGGACGACAGGGAGCAAGGGCAACCAAGGGCATGTGCTGGCAGGGAGAAGTACACCTCTGTCCTTGCTGCCCATGGGGGCTGGGGCTGGGGCTGGTTGTTACTGCAGCATAATTCGCCTCTCTTGACTGACAAAGCCCGTCTCCGGAGAGCTGCCGGAACAAGGCTGTTCGAGGCATTCTTCGCTTACCGTCAGTGCCGGCTGGGAATTGCAGGCCTGGACGTCGGGTGGAGGCAGAGGCCTGAGGTTCTGCTGAGCGCCCCGTGGCTGCTGGTGTGCACTCTCCAGGAACCACAGAGATGCAGACGCCGGCGAGCGAAGGCTTTGGAAGAGAATGGGAGGCTGTTGCGAACCTTCCCCCATATCCGACCTATAGCTTCTGGACACTGTAAGACCCAGACCAGCCCCAACTGTTTCATACATTCACTGTTCTCCGCTCAGGACGGTGGGAGCTCGGAGTCTTTTAATGCCTATGGGATTGTTGTAGGGTAGAGAAGAGGGCCGTTCTACAAGAGACCTCTGAGCTCTTTCTAGTTTAAAAAAAAAAAAAAAAAAAGAATGAATGTGTAATAGGAAAAGCAAACAAACAAAAACTACTTGAGATTCGGAAACGGAAAGACCTGAGTTTGAATTCCAGCTTCCCTACTCACTCGCTGTGCAATTTTAGGTGAGTTACTTCACTCTGCGTGGGCCTTGTCTGAAAAATGTACGAGAAGCAGGAACACCTATGAACCACTCCTGGTTCTATGAGGAGGAATTTCCCCCTAAATACCTCTCCCACCTCCCCATGGAGCCAGCGTTAGTCATCTGGTTGTTGGGCAAGAGCCGCCAATCTGCGTTTTGCAGTTGGTTGGAGTTGTTCTCAGGGTTTCTGAGCTGAGGACATTGGCTCTTCTGCAGGTGTCAGTGGGAGGAAGTGACTGGGTGAGGGGTCTGTTATGCCCACTTGTACTTCACCCCAGAGGGGAGCTAGAAACTAGAATGCTACCAGACCTCTCCCCGTCTCCCTCTCCCTCTCCCTCTCAGTATAACTGTCTCTGCACACCAGCTTTCTCCGCTCTCAGTTCATCTGGCTGAACACAGGCCACCATCAGCCCGAGTTTATATGTCATGTTTCGAGTCGCAGTGGTGTCGATTCCAAGCCCCAGTTAAGAGCACGCAGGAAACAGTTGGCCCAGCTTGGGACAGGCCTCTACCCCTGGTCTAATCAGCTATGGCTCAGCATCCAGAGACGCAGGGTTCAGACGTGACTGTCAGGACACGCTCTGACGGCTGGGGGCTTCGGGCCTCCATTAGTTTCCTGTAACACATCAGCACAAACTCAGTGGCTTAAAACAATGCAAGTTTGCTGTCTTACAGTTCTAGAGGTCAAAATTCCAAAATGGGTCTCACCGGGCTAACACTGAGGTATGGGAAGGGCGGCGTTCCTTCCTGAAAACCCGAGGGGAGAGTCCACTTCTTTGCCTTCTCCAGCTTCTAGAAGCTGCCCACATTTCTTGGCTTCTGGCCTCTTCCTCCATCTTCAAAGCCAGCAATAGCGGGTTAAGTCTGTCGTACAACCTGCCACTCTGACGACTCCTTTCTCTTCCACATGTAAGGACCCTTGCGATGACGTGGGGCCCACGCAGGCCACCCAGGGCCGTCTCCCCATCCGAAGGCCGGCTGACTGACAACCTTAATTCCGTCTGCTGCCCCAGTTAGCCCTTGCCGGGTAACATACCACAGTCACACACCCCAGGCCTTCGGATTTGGACGGCATTCCGCCTGCCACCAGGACGGAACTCCGCCAGAAGGACAGGGTGCTCATGAGCCGGGCAGACACCCTTGCGGGTCTTCCCAGATGAAGAGGGAGATCCACCCATGATTTTCCATTTCTCAAAGGATGTTTCTGGGCCTGCTCCTTGTTCACACTCCGAGGGGCTGCAGAAGTAAGGGAAATGGAAGCAGCGCCCTGGAAGGATCTCCTCTAGCAGGAGGTTCTCACGTGCCCAGAGCACAAGGCGGCGTTGGTCTGCAGTCTTCTAGCCTGTTCTACCTCCCTTAAGGAACTATCCCACTTTGCTTAACCCATCTTAAAAGACACGACATGCAACAATGTCATTAACAGTTTCCAAAGGCCAAGGCCTCCCTCTCCCTCCACCCCCGCAGGTTTGGAAGTTGATGCTACTTCTCCCCGGCACTCACTTGGTCCACCCCAGGA